GAAAACTTAATTCAAAAATCTTGAAGAAATTCGAGAAATAATCGAATAAAAGCAACAATAATATGAGCATGATTCACCTCATGTTACAAATGACAATGTGTGGTCTCATTAAGTGTAATACGAATAATAACCATGTGTCGAAGGTAGTACATTCCAAGTGCAAATCCTCCATTGTCGTTTCTCATTGAAAACTAAACAAAGTTATTGTATGAGTTTCAATTGTTACATAAAACCCACAATGATGACTAGCACATGTAAACCTTAGCCAAGTAAATATGATTTCATATTGACTAAGTGTTTCAAATATTGATTTTGGAACATATAATTATGAAAGTAATAAAGATGATTTGACAAGTTATAACTCCAAGTGGTTTAAAAATCAGGAAATCTTAAATAGATTCTAAGTTTTTAAGCAAGTGTATGACACTTGAATAATTTGCCTAATTGGGTGACCCATTATAAGCAAAACAGAAAATAAAGAAAAATGTTTTCTAACTAAAGCAAATACTTGTTAAAGGATTCAACTAATAGTATGACTATGACTACAATGAAACCTTTACATTAGTCATGTTGCAAAGATCTATTAAAGATATTTTAGTGATTTCCACCTTATGAGATTTGGTAGATTGATTTCAAAGTGCTTTCTTTAAATGGTTCATGGAAAAAGATTTGTATATGATACAATCAGAATGGTTTTGAAAATCCAATAATCCTAAGGAAGCATAAAAGATCCTTTAATGGATTGAAATAAGCATCATGGAATTAATGTTCTTAATTTTGTGAGTTAATCAAAATCGTTTGATTTTCTCATAAGTTGAAGAAAAGGTCTTATGTATACAAGATGTTTAGTGGGAGCTATACGATCTTCTTGGTCTTGTATAGAGAGCAATTATTCATTTCTTGAAGAGTTTAGTGGCGGGTAATGCATTTTGTATGAAAAACCTTAAAGAGAATGATGAATGCATTTGGTATTCAAGAAATATAGAGATAGGTCTCGAAGGATGTTTGAGTTTTATTAAGAATCTTATATTGATAAGATTCTAATAAGGTTCAACATTATATTGAAAGAGTTTCAATCCCATGTAACATGGCACATTACTTAACGGTTCAATACTTTGAGAAAGGTTGATAAAATTAAGGTTTTAAGTGATGATCCTCATGCAATATGCAAAGAATGCATCATGCATGTCATGGACTATACTTGTCTATTTGATTCGGGCGTTTTAAGGACAAGTGATGATAGATTACAAATCAAAATCCAATTTAACTTTGGAATACAAATTAGAAATTCCTCAGTTCCTTGCGAAAGGGCGAAGGAGAATTCTTAGTGTATGGATATGAATATTATTATAAAATTTAGAAATTGCGAAATTTATGTTTATGAGAATGTCTCATGAACTCTACTTACTAAACCCCTTCCATGACTAAGGTATGAGAGGCATACCAAGGTTCTTGGATTGAAGCAAGTTATGTAATTTAAGTTGTGTATGTTTTGAGAAAACATATTACATAAGTAACACATTAAACTTGCAGAATTATGTTTATCAATTGAAACAAAGTTTTAATCTTATTTAATTATGGTTTTTGCATTAAATAAAATGTCCAAAATATTTATGATTTGATGGGCTCATCAGGTTGATGACCTGGTGAATGAAACCCCACAAGTGAACTAAATTCATATATTATTTATGTTCCTAGATCAAAATCGTTAAAGTGGACATTAATGATTTAAATAAATGGACTAGAATGTAAGATTGATTGGATAGGCAGTTTCATAGGCTATATGAGCGTAATAAAGCTCGATCGATCACATGGATATGCATCGAACTATAAACCTACTTTGAAGTTCAAGTATAGAGCTTCCGGATATATTAGTGGATTCCTTTGACATGAGTAGAACACTGATTCCATTCAATAAATGATTTGATTGTGGTACTTTTAAACGTCTTCCCATAACTGGAGACTATAAAGGATATTTCCCAGCCATTTTAGGAGTTGAGTGGGAGCTTTGGTTGCTACAATATTAGATTGTGTCTACCTATTTTATTAAGAATGTGTCTTGGCCCCTTAAAGAGGGAGAATTCAAAAAATGCATGGTCGTGCTCAAATGGATTACATAGTAATCATTTGTTTTGTAATTCTAACTCAGTTTTCAAGAAAATATTTGTAGATTAATATGATCACAACATAAGATGCAATCATATTATCAAATCGACACACATTGACATAAGGAATTTGAATATTGCGCACTTGTCTCAGACAAGTGGGAGATTAAAGGAGTTATGTCTTCGATAAGTGCAATTACTAGATATATCAAGGGTCACTATTATGGAGATAAATAAGTTCGTTCTTTTGGGTAGTCATTGCTTGGTGCTAGATATGAAAAATGATCATTGGTGTTGTTAAATAGTCCAAATCCTAATAAAATGGTCCTATGAGATCACACAACAAGGCTATTGAGTTAAACAAGTAGGAGGCCCATTAATGGGCCTCATGAGATTATGACATACTACATGGAGTGTTGGGCTAGAGTAGTTTGACTAGGCTTAAGATTTTAGGCTTGGCATGGGCTCTTATTTATAGATTTGATCTATAAATAAGATCCATTCCTAGGGTTGAATGAAGACACGATTTAACAGTTAGTGAATTTTGAAACAAGGCAACCAGTATTCCAAACCCTAATACATCTCTCTCTCCTCACATACACGGCCGTACGGCCAGCCACCTTAGGTGGCTCGTGGTGTTCGTCATGGTGGTTCGTGGTTACTTTGTGTCTCTCTTCTCCATTGAAAGTTGATTGAAGTGTTCAATCACGACTAACTAGCATTAGTGGAGGTTTAACTTGTGCCCGTGGACCAAGTAGAGGAATCACGCTTGGGGTTCTTTATCTCCCATTGTTCTTGCTCGATCGCACGTGGAATCACGTTTCAAAGGTATAATTACTTGTTCTTTATGTGTTATGCAATGATATCTTGGGATTAGGTGCTCTATGAATACAATTCATGTTATTCCGCAAGTAGTACCTATAAACTCCTACACCTACTCCTTTTGTAAAATTGTTCCACTTTTTCTTTGCAGCCACACTTAAATAATTTTCCCATATCATTTTTGGAAACTTTTGACAATATTTTACTCTATTCCTCTCCACTAATGTCCGTAAATTGCATGACTAGGGTTTGGTGTCCTCAAAAGGTGCAATTTGATTAGCTTCCCAACACACGTGAGACAAGTTTAATGGGAATGCTATTTGAATGAATTTATATGGCTTTGCATGTAGCTTTTGTTTGTTTGATCGTCAAGGAATTTTCTGTTGCCAGTTGCCACGCTCTGATAATCCAATTTAGAAGAAAGAATTAGAGGACACATTTCAGTATTTGATTGGCTAGATTTTAGCCTTTAATCGGGCCATTTGGCATGAGGTATTTTACCCCCAAACACGCACTTTTGAAAAAATACATAATACATTTTTATTTTTAATTTAATTTTCACATTTAATTTAAACTAATTTGACTTTATTACGTAAGATTTTTTAATTTTAATTTTAATTTTTAAATTTTTTATTTTAATTAAATGAATTTAACTTTTTATAGACTTCTTCAAAAACAAAAAAAATCCCACTTCCAATTTCCCCATCCTATTTAGCACCTCTAGCTAGCGCCATTAGACTCTACCTACTTATTCTTCTCGCAACACCTATACCTTTTCCCCTCTAACCCTCTCATCTTGTAGCACCAGCTAGCCTCCTCCCCTTCTTACATTTCTAACTCACCATATCCGATCCATATCTTTTTCCTCGTAACACCACTATTAGATTTGATTTCAACGGTGGCTTTAATGGTATTTTTGAGGGGATACTTGTTATGGTGAACTTGTTATTTTTAGGGTGGTGATAAGGACTCAAGTGGTGGTAGGAAGTGAGGATGAGGGGTGGCCGGTGGGATTTCCTCATTCCAAGGATAGGGGTGAGATTCAATTCACGGGTTGGATCATGGATGGTTGGGGTTGGAGAGCATGGTGGGGTCATGGTCAGTTGTGGTCAGCATAGGGTGGGGTGGAAATAGAGTTTTAGGGTGGGGTTTATGTGGTGAAGTAGTGATGGTTATGGAGGGTTCGGGGCCATAAAACTGATAGACTATAGGAGGAGAGGAAAGAGAAGACAGAGAGGTTTTTAATAGTAAGAAATAAATATTTTATTAAAATATAAAATTGTAAAAATAAAATAATATTTTATATATAATAATCAATACAATGTGACACATGTCAAATTTTACTTCTTTAACAGGTTACCAACTGGTTATATTCTATTTTGACCAGACGCCCCCAAAGGTCGCATTATTCTAGGATATAAAAAGGTTTTTTTTTGGGAAGACTAGTCAAGGTCGTCATGTTATTCTTGACAATATTTCCTAAATACATTTAATCTAAATTTTAGTCTTTGAAGTATAAAAAATATATATTTATACGAAACTGAAGAATTAATTTTAAAAACCCAAAGTATAAATGTGTTTTGAGAAAAAAAGAAATAATCTCTTGGTTCAATGATACAAATGATATTTCGAAACTCTTACTCACATGATATATCAATGGCCTCATGCCTCTTATGATTATTTCCAAAAAATGATATTCACATAATAGAGCAATGGCCTCATTCCTCTTGTGATTATTTCCAATTAATGAGATTCACATGAAAGAGCAATGGCCTCATGCCTCATAAATGTTTCCAATTAAAGAGATATTCACATGATAAAGCAATGTGATCATGCCTCTCATGATAATTTCTAATTAATGAGGTTCACAATAATATATTAGTTACCTTTTTTATTGTATTTAATTATTGATATCACATGGATATGTAGGCTAGTATCCCATGATTTATTCATGCATTTGATCTCCTGATACTATAAAATCAATGAATCTTCTCATAATTTTCATCAACTCTAAAATAATCTTAACCAATAAGAGAATCAAGTTATTTAATTTAAGACAGATTTTAAGGTCTGATGGAAGCCCAAAACGCCATTAATAATGAAACAAGAAGTAGCTATGATCGAATTTATGAACTCAAGGTGTTTGATGAAGGAAAACTTGGTGTTAAAAGGCTTATAGATGCTGGTATACAAAAAGTTTCTAGCATGTTTGTTAGACTGCTTGAGGATCGTGAAAAAGATTTTGATACATGTTCTAAAAATATAAGTGTGTCAATAATAAACTTTGCTGATCTTGGTGAAAACAATGATCGAATTGCTGAGATTGCCAAGGAAATAATAATGGCATCAAATGAGTGGGGATTTTTTCAAGTTATAAACCATGGGATCCCTAATGAATTGTTAGAAAGGATGATTAAGCGAACTCAAATGTTTCATGAACAAGATGATGAGTATAAGAAGAAGTTCTACACTCGTGATTTTCATTCAAAGTCTGTGTACTTTACTAGCAACCATGACTTGTATAAGTCAAAGGCTGCAAGTTGGAAAGACATTTTGTATGTTAACGCTCGAAAAGCTGGTGGTGAAATTGATCCTGAAGAGTTACCTCTTGTATGCAAGTAAGTTATTATTTGTCTCAAATAACATACAATTACAAACCATGTGAAATTAAGTTATTAAATTAGTGTTATCTATGTTATTATATGTAAAAAATAAAAATAAAAAAATAAAAAAAATCCTAGTATCCAAATAAGGGTTTTAGTCTATGCATAACTTTGTCCCTAAAATTTTAAAACAATAAATAATGGTATATATTATTCTATAGTCACCTACAACCTAAGCCCACATACATCAAGTAGTCTACTTCATGAAAGTTATATAAATAAGAATTTTAAAATTATTTAGTAGTATATGAAGAGATAGAAATATTATTGAATAGCATTCAGAAAAGTTACTTTGATTTAGTTTGTGGTTTTCTTAAGAAAAAATCACAATCACTAAAGGTCTTCTTTTATTTATCAAGATCTCTAATTTTGTAAATAATTTTATATATATATATATATAATATTTGCTATTTATAATGTAAGTAAAACTACATACTTTTAAATAATTTTATATATATTTATTTAATATTATATATGTAGGCACAAGTTCTAGCTAAATTAAAATGAAATAATTAAGCATTTTTCATTTTAAATTTTATTTTAAGTATTTTATAAAAATATTGTACAATTTTGTAAGTTAAATAATTAACTTATAAAAAAATATATCTTTGAATTATTAAAATAAATGTATAAAATCTAAAGTTTTTTTAAGGGAAAGTACATTAATTAAGTGTGGATCTAAAGTTGTGGATTAGGAAATTTCATGTCCTCATATATAGATTTGGTCTAGTCCACATTTACCGAACAAATCTACATGAATTATTGTCAAACCAAAGTATATGGAGATAGTGTGATATCTAACATTTTAAAACAAAATGTGCACAATTAAAATAGTAAAGACATTACACTAAAAGTCGGAGCATAAGATTATATCTAAAAAAGTTTTAATAAATATATGATGCATTTTAGGAAAATAATGTTTGTGTATGTGTTAATGAGAGTGTGAAATTAAAAAAAAAATCGAAATTTTTTAAGCATGGTGGGTAATTACTTCCTCAATTATTCCATGCTTTCGCTTGCTAACTTTATAATGTATGCAAAAAAACTTTTTTTTGGCAGATGAGGGCATAAGGTATAGGCACCTCCACAATATCTATGTGAGCTACATCCGTCACTATATGAAAATTTTTATTATCAAGTTATTATACTCCTAATTCATCTTGTTGTCATCCTTGATAAATAAATGGAGCAACATTTTATCAATTTAATACATCATTTATTTAATTCAGTTTGACATATACTTTTAACTTTTACTTCATCCATACACTTTACTTGGATATTAGTCATATAGGATCTTATTTGAATCGTCTTAATATTAATTTTATTAAAATTCATTGTTTTTAATTTTACAATATGTTGATAATTTAAGATATTAGTCGTTAAAATTAAATGTATAAAATACATGGTTAGGGATGAATTTATATTATATATTCATTTTGTAGGGATGTGATGTTGGAGTTTATTGATCGCATCCATATGCTCGGTAATCGCATACTTATGATAATATCAATCGGTCTAGGAATTGAACCCGATTGTCTTGGAAATATGGCAAAAGGTAAAAAAAGTTGGGCCATAGCTAACAATTATTATCCAGCATGTCCACAACCAGAATTGACCTTGGGAACTACTGCCCATATTGATACTTCATTTATCACAATACTCTTACAAGACAATATTGGTGGACTTCAAGTACTTCATGATAACAAATGGGTTAATATTGAGCCTGTTACTGGTGGTTTGATTGTTAACTTCGGATCAATACTTCAGGTATTACTTCTTTCCATTGTATACTTGTTCTTAGATGAAGGAAGTTTAACAATATATTTACATTGTTCTTGTACACTTATAGCTTTAATATTTTTATCTTACAGATGATAACTAACGACGTAATAAAAGCTGCATGTCATAGAGTGATTGCTAAAAGTGTTGGACCAAGGATCTCTATTGCATTCTTTTTCAGTGGTATTATGACATCTGAGAAGATACTTGGTCCAATAAAGGAGCTAACATCAAAAGAAAATCCACCCATTTATAGGAATTTCTCAATTGAGGAAGCGATAATAAACTTGTTCTCAAATTCACTTGATGTAGTTGGGGCCAACCTCAATTATTTTAGAATTCAACATAACGGTAAAGACAAGTAACTATCATCGAAAATGTGTTACAAAGATATGTTTAATTGCTATGCAATAAACAAAATTAATTAATATTTTTGTAGCAATATAATTTTAATTTATCAAATTAAAATGAAACACCTTTAGTTACTATGAGCATTGTAGCATGTACTTGCTTACCTCTAATTTTTTTTAATTTATTTTGTCATTTGCACTTTGCTACAGGTTTACAAAATTATAGTGAAACGTTTTACATCTTGTAAGCATTAAACACTGAAATGAAGAGTGAAAATGTGTTTGAGCATGCTTATATTAATATGGAGATGTTTCGACATCTCGATATAATGTTTTCCAAAAAAAAAAAACAAAAAAACACCTAAATGTTTCTCCCCGACCAAAACCTAGTAGTGATGCATGACCTTTCACTGCCTTCGTTAGTTTGCGCATAGGATAAAAAAAGTGATTGTGTTTTTTTAAAAACCTTACCCATATTTGTTTTAATTCACTCAATCCATCCCATTTAAAGCCCAAACATTTATTCATTTATACACTTGCCTTATTTTTATCCTTACCCAAATTATAGTTATTCTAACGAAACCTAGTCAAAGCCTATTCTCAAAAGCCCAAACTTGGAAATGCGTTAAAACTATTGCTATATAGAATACATTAAATTAAAAAAAAAACTTGTTAAAAGTATTTCATGATTGCTACTTCTTGGATGACGATCTTAGTATCATAAAATCAAAACACCTAATTCTAGGGTGCTATGATGGGCAAGCATTTAACTTGCTATTTGGACTAGAGCAAAATCATGTCGCTACAATGACCAATCAAAACGCCATTCAAGATGAAGCTTTTGACCCAACCTTGTTGATCACCCTTTCAAATGAAAATTTTGAGCATGGATGGAGGAAATCTTTCAAATGGATCAATCATAAAGGCGATAAGCTGGAAATCATCACAGGCAAAGGGAAGATATTTAAAGAATCGGACGATGAATCTATTATAGACTCTAGGGAAGCTGAAAATCTATGCCTTGTGGCCATTACTGAGTCTTTATTTTCTAGTTCTAAGGATGAAGATCTCAAAATGGATTCTTCTCTTGATGTACTCTCTTTTGATTTTAATAATATGAGCTCTATTTCCGAGTATATGCCTTCTCTTGAATCTTTCGAATGCTATAACAATCAATCTAATGAAGATGATAACATTAATAAATTAGTTGAACTAATGAATAAACGAGAAAAAAAGAACCCTATCGTTGAAGGAACATAAATAGTTAAAATAGGAACTAACGAAAATAAAAGAGAAGTCAAAATTGGCTTAACTCAAAATCCGGAAGAGCGATCGATCCTCATATCGACGCTCAAAGAATTCAAAGACGTGTTTGCTTGGTCGTACAAGGACATGCCTGGAATAGATAGGGAAATTGCGGAACATATTATTCCTTTGAACCCTACCTCTAAACCAGTAAAACAAAAACTTCAACGAATGAAACCTAAAGTTGCATCAAAAATAAAAGAAGAAGTACAAAAACAGTTGGACGCCTGTTTTATTCGCGTATGTAATTACCCAGAATGGGTAGCGAACATTGTCCCAGTCCCTAAAAAGGATGGACGAGTTTGCATGTGTGTCGACTTTAGGGATCTTAATAAAGCCAACCCTAAAGACGATTTTCCTCTACCACATATTGATATATTGGTAGATAACACGGCTGAACATGTGATGTTATCTTGTATGGATGGATACGCAGGTTATAACCAATATTTAATGGCAAAAGAAGACGAAGAAAAAACATGCTTTATTACCCCTTGGGGTACATATTGCTACACATTCATGCCATTCGGTTCAAAAAATGCAGGAGCTACGTATTAAAGAACGACTACGACTCTCTTGCATGATATGATGCATAAAGAAATAGAAGTGTATGTTGATGAAATGATCGTGAAGTCCAAAGATAGAATGGGACATATAAAAGCTTTACGCAAATTTTTCACTCGCATAAAAGAATATAAAATGCGATTGAATCCACAAAAATGCGCCTTCAGAGTAACTTCTGGCAAGTTACTCGGATACGTAGTAAGCACACGTGGCATCGAGATCGTTCCCTCTAAAATAAAGGCAATTGTTGACATGCCTCCCCCTGACACAGAAAAAGAAATTAGGGGTTTCCTTGGCAAACTACAATACATTAGTCGATTTATCAACAAATTGACTATGACTTGTGAGCCAATATTTAAAAAATTGAACAAAGAGGAGAAACATGAATGGGACGATTAATACCAAAAGGCCTTTGAGAAAATCAAATATTATCTCAAAAGTCCACCAATTTTAGCACCACCAGTACCCAAACTACCTCTTAGGCTATACATTACAATTACAAACACAGCCACAGGTGCCATGTTAGCACAAGAGGTAGAAAAAGTCGAGCGTGCAATATATTACATAAGTAAAAATTCATCCAATATGAAACAAAATACAAAACCTTGGAATAGACAAGCCTAGAATTAGTGTGGGCAACCAAAAAACGACGACATTATATGTTACCACACACTACTCATGTGATTTCTCAACAAAATCCGATAAAATATTTGTTTGAGCAACCACCCATGCAAGGAAGGATATCTAAGTGGTTGGTGATGTAGGCCGAATTAAAGTTAAAATATATTCCTTAAAAATCAATGAAAGGGAAAGTAATTTCCAACAATCTGGCACAACATCCAATTCAAACAAGTCGTGCACAAACTACTCATCTTCCGGATGAAGAGTTTCTCGTGACAAAAGATGACAAATGAATAATGTAATTCGATGGTGCATCCAATCAAAAAGGATGTGGCTTAGGAGTGTTACTCATAAGTCCATAGGGAGCACATACTCCAATCTCTGTTAAACTAGACTTTGAGGTTACTAATAATGTCGCAGAATGTGAAGCGTGCATTATTGGATTAGAAGCAGCAGCTATCATAGGTGTGCAAAAATTAGAGGTATATGGAGACTCCAGTTTGATTATAAATCATATACTAAAAAAATGAAAAATGAAGAACTCCACAATGATATTATACCAAGCACACCTAGAGCAACTCATCGAGCATTTTGAAAATATTGATTTTAAATATCTCCCAAGGGATGACAATCAATTCGCCTATGTGCTAGCAAAATTAGCCTCAATGATCAACATTCCAGATCACTTAAATATGATGCCATTATGCGTTGATAGAAGAGAAGAACCAGTGTATTGCAACGCAATAAAGGAAATAAATGACATCGAAGGAGAAATTCCTTGGTATGATCATATCCTCCAATATATTACTCATGGAACATATCCCGAAAATACTTCATCGAAAGACTAACGAGCCTTACGAACACTTGCAGCCCAATATTGTCTAGTAAATGGTAAATTACGCAAAAGAGGACCTAATGGTCAAAGTTTATTATGTATAGGCTAACCGGAAGCCACACGCCTTATGGAAAATACTCACAAAGGTGTTTGTTGACCTCACATGAAAGGTAAAATGCTTTCAAAAATGTCCAGAGTGCCAAATGTTTTCTAATTTACAACACCTTCCACCATCGAAACTATACAATCTCACTTCCCCTTGGCCATTTTCAACTTGAGGAATTGACATAATTAGAAAAGTCTCTCCAACAGGAGCAGGAGGGCACGAGTACGTATTAGTAGCCATCGATTACTTCACTAAGTGGATTGAGGCTACTTCTTACGTGAACATCACTTCTAAACATGTCGCAAAGTTTCTCGAATGAAACATATTTGATAGATATGGAGTTCCACAAGAGCTAATTAGTGATCAGGGATCTCAATTCAAAGCTAAAGTCGAGACCCTCTTAACTCGTTATAAAGTAAAACATCATCACTCATCTCCATACAAACCTCAAATGAATGGAGCAGTAGAGTCGGCAAATAAAAATATAACAGTCATCATTAAGAAAATGGCAGAAAATTATAAAGACTGACCGAATAAACTACACTTCGCATTATGGGGTTATAGAACGTCTATACGAACATCAATAGGAGTAACCCCATACTCTTTAGTTTTCGGAATGGACGCAGTTCAACCAGTCAAACTGGAAATACCATCCCTACGCATCGTACTTGAAGTAAGCTATCGGAAGCTGAATGGGTAAGAGCGAGGTATGAAGAGCTTTTATTCCTTGATGAACGTCGATTAAGAGCTTTGCATCATGTACAAGTCTACCAAAGGCGCATTGCGCGTCATTTCAATAAAAGAGTCAAACCCAGAAATATAAAAGAAGGTGACTTTGTACTAAAGGAGGTTAGGGGTCCACCAACTTATCCAAGAGGGAAATTCAAACATAATTGGATAGGTCCCTACCACGTAATTGAAATCCTATCAGGAGGAACCGTCAAATTAATGGATATTAGAGGAGATGAAATTCGCCAATTAATAAACATTGATCGACTTAAGAAATATTACATATGAAATCCGGATAAACTCTTCACTCATACAACCAATTTTAACTAGCATTCAATTGAAAGATTCTAAGTGTAATGCATTTTACCGAATACCACGGTAAAATACATAAAACTTGGGGGGTGATTTAGAAATAATAAACCATTCTAGGTGTTCAAATTTTTTCGAACATAAAAAAAAAATCTTCACACTTGGGGGGTAATAACATAAATTTTTTAAATTTTTTTTTCTCGAAACATTCGTAGCACAGGTGTCGCGCGCAACTGGAATAGTTGTTCGCGGATGTCACGCGCAACAAGCTCGCGCAACTAAAGACGTCGCGTGCGCCACCTGATGACAAACTGCGAACCCGAATTTTTTCGTTTGAATGAAGTTGCGATTTCTACTTGCGACAAAAAGAGGGTGTTTCTTAAACATAACATATACTCGGAAAATAAAATTAAACTTTGATTTAAATCTTTTTAAACATGGTTGGATTAATTTTTCATTTAATTTCTACCTAAGAGATTAAGGAAAAATGAAAAAATAATAAAAAAGTAATTAGAACTACAGAAAAGCCTGATTTCATAATATGAATAA